CTACTTTGAGTAAAACACCATCCATGGTGCTCATAAAATCGAATTCGTCATTCGTGATACAAATAAGAGCGGCATAACCTCTACCTAAAGAAGCGGAAACATATTTCGAGTTATCCCTTAGTGGAGGAAGGAACACACCGGGGGTGATAGCAAAAGCGCATATTTTATTCTACCTCACCATCCTGTCTTGGTAACCTTTTTTTCTAACAAAAATATTTATCACTGCGACAAAAAAAAAAAAGAAAGACAAGTTCGTAACCCCCAATTGGGAATTTTATATAGATGCTATTCTTGAGGGCGTTCTTTTCAATCTGCCAAATATTTTCATTTACAAAAAAAAAAGGAGGGAAATAAAAACATCCTTTATGACCAAAATTTCTGTTCCACGTGAGGGAAAAGAAAATATTAGTGTTACGCAACAAACAGTGGTAACCCCTTGGGTCAAAAAATCCTATGAAATGGATGCATGCCTTTGCGCACGAAAAAAAAAAACTAATAATGACGAAACAACTTCTTCCGATACAGAGGGTCGAAAAACGTCCTGGATGCTACTTGACTCACCACATAAAGCAAATGTCTAGGCACATATTTTATGGAGTACTTATTAACGGAATAGCTTTTGACCATTTCTTCAGATTCATCCAACAATGAGACTTGCTCCCTTTTCAAGTGTTGTGCGTACAGAGGTCTTGTTACGTATGTTTGGTGTGCTACATTCCAGAAGGAGAAATTCGTGGCCGCGTTGTTTGAGGATTCTTCCTCCTGCTTCTTCGTCCTCTCGGCCGCCTTCAAATTCGTGGCATTGCTATTGCCATTATTGCTGCTGTTTCTCACGTTGTTGCCTTCCCCCCGGTTGGTCGCCCCACTGTTATCATTGCTGCAGGTGACCGTCTTTCCGTCATTGCGCACATGATTCTCGCGGGGGGGATTGTTCTCCTTGTCAATCTTTGCAATGACCGCAGGAATAGTTGTTCGAGTTTCATCCAGATCCTTGAAACCCTCCCTTCGCTGGTGGTCCTGCCTTGATAAGTTGTAAAATTCATCGTCCATCTCCCTCATGGTAGTTATATTTTTTTCCATCTTATCGTAGTTTAGGCAAAGGGACAAATAGTTGGACCTCCTGGATGTTCCCTCACTAGTATTCTTTTCACCATCCCCACCACTGTCTTTCCCACCGCCGTCTTCTCCATCGTAGTGATCCTCATCCGACGAATAAAACATAAGAATGCTCGTTATATCGTAGGCAAATGGGCCAGGAAGGCCTCCTTTTACCTCTACATGAGTATGACCATACTCGGTTCCTCCCTTTGGGTAATTTTTCTTAACAATAAGTGGACTCCTTTCTTGTGCGTCCCTACTCCTCAACTTCGCCATCCCTTCATCGCATTCTTCGTCGCTTTCTATTTCGGATATGTCACATGAGGAAGAATCATCATTTTTGAATTTCCCTCTGGGGAGAATTCTGTCCCTATCAATAAGCTCATTTTCTTGATCTTCCTGAAAAAACATTATGCTCTCATCAGGTTCTAAAGGGTATAGCTGTGTCGACCTTTTAACATTGCGGCTGATGGGGGGGCTGGCAACTTGGTTATTTCCCTCTCTGTGATAGTTTCCTATATCCTCCTCATCCTCCTCCCATGTTTTGCTAGCATTCTTCGCATTTCCGCATCGAAACCGTTTTGTGTTTCTCACCTTCTCTGCTGCTGCCCCCTCGAGACTTTCCTGTCGCTTCCTCTTCTTCCCCTTCTCATCTTCTATGCGCAACAAACTGGCGTTCACCAAGATGTCCGATGTGAGGATCCTATCGATCCACTGGACGAAAGTAGTTATGTTATTCCCTTCGGTGCTTTTGGTGTGACCTGCTGGAGCACTCATTTGGGTCACCAACTTTGCTGTGAATGTTCCCTATGTTCCCCCGATCAATCGCATTCCTAGCAGAGATACCCATGCGCTGCGCGGACATAGACGTACTTGTTCATTGTGCTGCAGTACATTTCACTATCGTATGTGCATCATTGCGAATGTCCATGCGTGTTAAACCTGACAACCATATGTCGCGGCACAGGCAATGCTTCACCTTCGTGTTCCCTCAATTGGGGGAAGGAATTAAATTGCTGTATATGCCCATTTAAACGAAAAAAATATTACGCAAACGATTTCATGATTTTTGGTTTGTTTCGCTTGTGGTGTTTCTTCTCCCACAATCTGGAGTTTTTTTTTTCTTTTTATTTTTTCATCAGCTTTTTTTTAACCCGGGAAAAATTCACATATTTTTTACTCGCGCTTTGATTTTGCTTCCTAGAGTTTTTTCCTTCCCCATTGGTACATTTTGCTGCCCTTCACGTTGCTGTTTTCTTGTGAGTGGTGAAGAATGGCTCATTAATTCGCACGGACTACCGCGTGGAGGGTTTGAATCCTGCCTCCGTTTATCCGTTTGACCATCCGCTTTGAACCCGCTTGCTTCTCAAGTGCCCCGCGTCACACGGCTGACCCCTATTTATGAAGGCTGCCACGGCGTAGAAATACCAACACTTTTCAGCTATTCCGAATAAGCGAAACTACCAGCCTAGTGGTTGGAAATTATTTGCGCGTTTTCACGAAAAAGCGTTGAGTGCTTCACTGCGCCCACGGCTTCGCAAAATGAACGCTGCCCCATCAGGGATGATCCAAATGTATCACAATGTGTAAGGTACTTACGGTTAAGCGAAGTTGGCGAAGTGGTGAGATATCCACGAAAGGGTGAAAAAAAAAGGACGTCGTCTTTCCTTCCTTCTGCCCACTTGAAGACGCGTATAAATCGAAGAAGGGGCGATTTTCATATCACCCAAGTGACAAACGTGTGTGAAGTCCTGAGCACCCCGGGCCGCTGCTGCGACTGCGCGCAACACCTCCACGCCCGCAGTCTCCCATTCGTCTGCCCCAAGCGGTGAACCACAAACCGCTGCACTCGTTCACCACTTGCTCACCACTTCGACACCTCTGGTCGTCTGCACCACCGCAACATGAATGGGAACCATGGCAAGCCGGGCACAGAAAGGGAGAATCACGCCAGCGCCGACGAAGCGCCGAGAGGAGACGCCTTCTTCGACCCCAGCGCAGAGCAGTACCTAGTCATTTCCCCCCGACAAAAGCTAAACCCAATCTTAAAAAAAATAAACAGAGTTCGATACAAATTTAGTAACATCATTCCAGATTTTTTAATCGGGAAGAATAACGCCTGTTTGTTCATATCGATGAAGTATCACAGACTCAGATCCAATTATTTAAAAGCGCGAATCGAAACGCTGTCCAATAAGTACAATAACCGCATACTCCTATGCCTGGTCGATATCGAAAATATAGAAAACTCTCTGGGGGAAATAAACCAGCTGGCCTTTTGTTTTAACATGACGTTAATATTATGTTGGAGTACCGAAGAATGTGCTCGGGTGATTGAAGACTTTAAAATTTACGAGAAGAAAATCTCCTACATAAAGAACAACAAACTGACGTCCACCCATGCGGAGAAGATACACGAACTTTTGAAAAAAATCAGGTGCATCAACTCCTCCGACTGTGTAACAATCACGAACAAGTTCAAAAGTTTTAAAAATATTGTCATGGCCAAGAAGGACGACCTCATCAATTGCTCTGGTTTGGGCAACAAGAAAATACAGTCGCTCATATCTGCTTTTAATGAACCCTTTTTTTAGGAGCACACACATATACATATGTATGTACCCATGTATGTGTGTATTCATGTATCTATGCATGTACGTATGCATATGTCTGGTTCGGGGGTGTATTTCTGCTGACGGACACGCTCACACGTAAAGGGTACCCTCCTGTGTGCACACACAAAGGAGATCTGCCACTGTGTCGCCAACGCATGTGAACCGAAAGAACGACGAAGAACAGCCCGTTTAACCGATTCTACTGTTCTGCAATTTTAACGTCTATCTTTCCTTTCACATGAGAAAAAAAAACTTTTTAAAAATCCTATATATACTTTTTTCAGGAGTTACTTTTTCATAACGGCAGTTCAGCGTACTTTAAAAACGTGGGTATAAATAAATATATATGTGTACGTGTGTGTATTTATACATTTTAAATACTTAAGTAGATATACACTTTGGCACACGTCAAGGGGCAGCAACAGGTTGGCTAGCTGTATGCGTAAATATATCTTACCAATTAATATACAAAAAAAAAAAAAAACTAGCTATTTTGATAAACCTTTTTTTTTTGTCTACTTGGAGATGCTCCATTTAATTTGTCTTTTCCCTTAGGATAGGGGGTACATGGGTTTATAATTCGCAGATCACTTGGGAAGGCCCTCATCCGAATATGACTGAAAAAAAGGGGGGTGCATGTTGGTTAGTGCGTGTGTGCATTGATATGTGCGTGATGCATATGTGTGTACTACATACGTATGGTTTACAAGCAAAGAAAAAAAACTTCAAGCAATCCGCTCGTGAGCGTGCTCGCATCTCGCCCTTACTGCTTGACGCTCCTCCAGGGGGCTGATTCACCTTCACGTTCGTCTTTTTGTCTGACTTGGATGGCATCTTGTTCATTTCGGGGTTACCGGCCGCCTCCGAGCTCTCATTGTTCTTTGAGGCCGAATTCCCATTTTTCTTGCTGGCATTTTTGTTCTCAGGTTCTACGTCTGCGGGGGGTGTTAAAAAGGGGAATTCCTCACACTGCTCGCTCATTCTCACAAGTGGTTGGTGTGAACGTGTTAGCAACTTTACACAATCGTAGATGCGCCTCTCCAGACGCAATCGTATCTTCACATGCGCATATTGCATTCGGCGCCACTCCTGGGCCACTCTTCTCCCCCTTACAGTTTCCAAATGATACGGTGGAGTTCCCTCCTGGTGCGTTCGTAATTCTCGTGCTCGATCGATTTTTGATGAATGGGTTGTCTCTTACGTCTGTGTAAAATGGAAGCGGAGACGGGATTCCCCGGGGGGAGGTCATGTTGACGTGTGCACGTGGGAAGAAGCATACATGCATATACACAAGTGTAATCACGTGGGGTCCTCACTAACGAGCATAAAACAAGCACACACAGATCACGTAAAAAGGGACCACGCGAAAACATGTGTGGAGGGGGACTACGTACTACAGGCCCCCTGCCGTATGCGTGAGTGTGAGGTGCATCCCCTTACCCATTTTCCACGCCTTCAAAAGAGAGATAAAATAAGGGGGAGATGATAAATATTAATTCACCGCTTAACTTTCTCTGAGGATGATTTAAAACGCAGGGTGCGCTCCTTTCGTCGTGTGCTTCTTCGCTTTCTTTCCTCGACGGGGGATTCTTCAAAAGGGGAAAATAATATATATGTGCATATATGTTGATCCATACTTACATATAACCCCTTGGGGCATGCTATCGAATCTCTGATAATCGAAAACACGCAGCGGCATCGCGCGGATCCTTCCGTAAGTGCCTGTTAGCTTATTCGAAGAGCCATACAATTTTACATACTCTGTGTGCGAAAGTGTATGCAGGCGAGTCCAAAAAATCGGTTAAATTAAAATGGCCAAGTATTGGGCCGATCTTAAAAGTTAAAAGTCGAAGATTCAAATACAGAATGATGGAAGAAACTCATGCCACATAAAAGGGATTCCTTTCTACATAAACAAAATATTCTTTAATGTCTCCTTCCAAAAAAAAAACTAAAAATAAAATATAAGGATACAATTTCTTTGAAAATTAAAAAGGTTCAAAATATGCCTCAAGAAAAATATGTTCATGATCACGTGTCAAAATGCATCAAGAAAAAAAAAAAAAAAAAAAAAAAAAAAAAAAAAAAAAAAAAAAAAAAAAAAAAAATACAAACAATGCATATACACAAATTATATCGTGCGCACTTTTAAACGAAATAAAACGTCCATTTTTTCACTTTTGTTACCGCCCCAACTGGAAAATCAACCCCGTGTATACACATATCCTGAGAGGGACTACATTATACACTTACACATGGCACCGAAGAAGCGTCATCATCCACGTTGATTTATGTTAAGCATAAAACTGTTTTTTTCCCCCTTTAAGGTTTTTTTTTTTTCTTTTTTTTCGCGATAGCTACGTGCACAGTGTATAGGAACACTCCCGAACAGCTTTTTCTTTTGTCTCCCCCGTTCGAAATGTGCATATCGAAAGGATTAGAAAAGAAAAATCAGGTAAAAAAGGAAGCACTCAGGTCAGATCCTCGAAAGTGGCCGAACTAACCCAACCATCACCAGCACCTCATGAAGGCACTCGGAATACCGCTCTGTTAGCGTCCTAGCGGGGAAGTACAAATGTGATGTAGAACGTGGCAAGAAACAGAGAGCCAAATTGGAATCGTTAAAACCTTTCTCGAAACGTTCCTTTTGTGAGAACCGCTCCAGATAATGTGCCAACAGTCCCAACAATTCCAACCATTCCAACGCGCTCCTGGAAATGAGAATGCCAGAGAGGAAAAAAGAAACCTTTTTGCTGCCTACCTGCTTAGCTGTGAAAAGGTTCCCCGCATGCAGGTGGCAGGGCGGTAACTGAGTGCATACGGTCCATTCGGAGAGATAACCCCCTACATGCGCAGGCGATATACATCTATGCATGCGTGATGGCACCGGGGTTTTGGCCCCAAGTAAAAAGGGTCATTTCAAAAAAAAAAAAAAATGGCAGGAAAAAAAAGGGTATGTCATGTATCTCCGTTCAAATGACGACATGGAAGTAGTTTCCCAATTTTTTTTTTTCTGCATTATTGTGATAAAGAGCACAACGAATGGGGAGTAAAACCTAAGTGGCAAAGCATTACACATATTGGTGACATTATTGTTCCGATAGGTTCTGTAGTGTAGTGGTTAGCACTGCAGACTCTGACTCTGCAAACCTGGGTTCGAATCCCAGCAGAACCTTTTATTGTTCTGTCAAGATTATATTTTAATATATTATTATATTCTTATTTTTATTCTAATTCTCGAAATTATGCTCCGCCAGAATGAAATTTTATAGCTTCCTTTCTCCTTCCTCAAATTATCGTATCAAAGGAAGGTTAAAGAAATATCTTCTCAGCCATTTATTTAACCAAATTTGTTCATTTACCAGAGACATGCGAAACGCTCTTGTCACCCCAACAGTTCGACATATATTCCTACATATATATTTTATACTATTCTCGTATGTTTAAGTTTCCCCTTTTGGGTGACGTCTCTTCGAATCTTGTTTCCGTCCTCAAAGGGGAAGAAAAAAAAACACAGAAGAGAAAACCAGGGAGACGTTTTTTTTTCTTTTGTATTCCATCTTTGCGCTTGGTCGGTAGGAACAAAAAATCTAAGATTGCATTCTAAACCGCTTTAGAAAAAAAAAAAAACCTTTACCACATGTTTTTTTAAAGTGAGAACGTCCTGTGCGGGTCTCATTTTTGCCCTCCCAAGTGACAACCAGTTTTGTCTCCCTAAATGTCGGTTCTTACGTTCGGGTGCCACTTCCCACTTTTGGGAAGCTTCATTTGAGGGTAAAAAAGGCGAAGCACTTCTTTTGTCACCACGTTCACACAGAAGTGGAGAGTATGCCGAAGGGTAACGCTCAAACGAATCCGTGCACCTCCCCAACACAATGGAAGACGATACAGATGCAGTATCAGCCCTGAGGTAGACTTCCCCAGGATGCCTTAATCCATTCTGTGAACAAAAATTGAAAGTTCGATTCTCTGATATGTAGAATGCACAGCGTGTGAGACGCCTGTCAGCTTTCTACCGGAGTGTGTGGGGGGGGAAAGCGTAGGAACTAACTCGTTGAGCGGAACTAACTTGGTAAGCCATCCTAGAAGGGTAGATAAGCAAACCTAACCTAATGGCAAACCTAATGCGAGAAAAGGTGCGAAATGCCTTGCCCCTCTCAGTTCCCCTCGTATGCAAAATAAAAAAAAAAAAAAAAAATGTGTACTGTGCTAGTGAAAAAAAAAAAAAAATACACGTAATAATGCCAAGGAAGAAAAAAAATATACTAGAGTGATAAAATTAGAAAGTTCCAAGCTGCCAATATGCTAAAATTCTAGAATGCTAAAATGCTAAAAGAGTGAATGGGACAAATTTTAATAAGAAAAGTTAAAAACGGAATGCCCTTCCCCGGCTAGCCCCGCTTTTCCGTTTCTTTCCCGTTTCCTAATGTATCGCTCGCACTACTAAATGAAGGCACACAAACGCGACGCGCCTGACCCAATGCCCACCACACAACTGGACGGAGAGCAGACCGCGTGACGCCGACCGGATCGTCTCTGACAAAGCGCAAATGAATCTTTACCTAAATGTGCTGCACGAAATAGAGGCGATCCTTCAAAGGTGCAACGGAGACGTGTATCAAAAGGTTCGAAAAATAATCGAGTACATTCGGTCCAACTACAGGGAAGACCAGGACGAGGTACTCCCGCCGAAGAGGGACAATGCTGCAAAGAAGAAGAGAGCCAATTCGAGGAGGCGAGATGAAAAAGACACGGGCGCGGCGAAACTGACGGCGAAGCAGACGGCCAAGCAGACGGCCAAACTCACAACGAAGCAGACGGCAAAGCTTATGACAAAGCAGGGCGAAAACGCGAACAGCATAAAGAACTACTTCAAAGTAGTGAAGAGGGAATCTCCCCCTCCAAACCCAAATAATGCAGACACGCGCGCGGAAGATGCCAACACGGAAGGATCGTCCCAAATGGAAAAGAAAAAAAAAAAAAACACCATTCCACGGATTAACACGTTCCTCTTCTACGGAAATTATAACATTATAATAATCATATACTACATTATACACAAAGTAAACCTCCATAATGAGGAGAACCTTTTTTCCAATGGCAACCACCATGGGGAAAGCCCAAATGGAGGTGCCAAAGATTTCATAATCCATAGTAACAAAACCGTTACACACATTATGTGTCCTCAACTGAAGGACAACGACTTCAAAGGATTGAACCAAGTAGTGAAGGAAATACTAACGTACAAGTTGAATTCCCGTCGCATATTCATTGTAGAGTCCTTTGATTCTTTGAATGATCAATTTAGAAAAATTTTTATGCGAAAAAGGAGTAAAAGTAAAAATCTCATTTTCATTCACAGCAGTGCTTCTTTGAATGACATTTATTTAGCCAACTGTCTGTATGTCCGAATCCCCAAGCCAGAAAAAGTTCTGTTCATTTCTCATTTTTTACATTTATCTGAAGAGAAGTACAAAATGGATATTCATAATAAGGAGAAGAAGGACTACGTCGAAAATATCATAAAGAGTTGCAACTATGACATTTCGCTCATCCTCAGCATGCTGTACTTTATCAAGGTTAATAACTTCCCAGACTTGAAGAAAATTATGAAACTGATTGTCAATACGAATATAAAAAAGGTAGTTTGTATCATACACAAATGTGTCATTTCGAAAAGTTCCCTGTTCCTGATTAGAAATATTTTCTATTCCATTTTGTATACTTACAACTTTGATATGCACAACTTCTTGACTATCTTTTGCAAACAATTGATTTCTTTCCATAAAGATGATGAGAATTATAAGAAGGAGATTTTCTCCTTGTTTTCAGAATATAGTTACTACTCTTCTTTACACGACAATCATATTTGCTCCTTGGAGAGCCTCGCCTCCAAAGTTATCCTCCTTGAGCAGAAGTACATCACCACGTTGAACCCCAGCTCCCCCATTTCCGAGGACAAGGACGAACTCAGTACCAGCTTTAAGTCCGAGCTCGCGTGACAGCACCACCCCCGGGAAAATCCATCTACAGGGCCCAAACCCTACAGGGGCGGAACCCTACAGGGGGAGATCCTCCTGCCGCAGCCGCGATGGCAACTCTTAACTAGGAGAAAACTAAACAGAAATGACTGATTATTCAAACGGTTCACAAAATAGTCAAATGGAGAAAAAAAAAAAAACACACATCCATACAGCCATACATCCATACATACACACTGCAGGATGCACTTTAAAAACGTCTTCACTTCTGCTCGTGTGCGAAGAGAAGGGCGAAAGAAAAATAGGATGACGCTCGCCTCACACACGAACCATTCGTATGTCGAATCCAATTCGAATACGCCCACGGGGTGTTAAAAATATTGGGGACATGCCTATCTGCGCAGACACATGGACACACGTGCGCATGTATGTATGCCCCGAACGGACGCTCGCGCAAGGCGAGTTCGATTAATTTTTTTTTTTTATACAAAAAAAAGATACACATTTTGGACACACAAAAATTCCCCTTTGTTTTTTCATTCCTTGTTTTGTGCCCATGAGTTATGGAGGCGCCTCCGTTGGAAGCAGCCATGAACAAGGCCTACGACCCACTTCTTACTTCAACTTATAACTTCTAACTTATGACTTCTAACTTGGCACGTGGCAGTTCACCCCATGTGGCTCCGGAAAGCAACATGCACGCTCGCTTGTCCATCTAACTGCCAACATTTTGCACGTAAGACTAATCATTTTCGTAGGCTATTCGAATCTTCTTCTTGCCTACGAGGGGGGGAAAAAGAATGGGGGAAAAAGAATGGGGGGAAGAATGGGGGAAAAAAAATGGGAGGAAGAATGGGGAAAAAATGTGAACGACACAGGGTGCGGAAAAACAGCGGGCGAATTCTCAAAAGCCATTCCTTCCCCCGTTGGGGGCATTCCATGGAAGCACCCAACACACAGAAGCTGCATGTCTGGCATGCTCTCTCCCCCTGGTCTTTATAACACGTCTACGTATCTTCCGCGTAAATACCTACCTTTCTTTCCGCCTTTCTTGGTACTCCTCTTCTTCGTGAAGGTTCCGTCGAACTCCTCCACTTCGTCTTCATCAAACAGCTTCCCTTCCTCCTGCAGAGTCCTGATGTGCTCGGTGTCCACGTACTCCTTGGCACATTTCTGCTTCGTTTTCGCAGTCCTCCCTTGTGGTTCGTCCTCCAAATATTCCTTCTCCTCATCGTCATCTTCTTCCTCATCGTCATCATCATCCTCATCGTCATCATCATCCTCATCGTCACCATCATCTTCCTCCTCATCGTCACCATCATCTTCCTCCTCATCGTCACCATCATCATCCTCATCATCATCCCCATCATCTTCCTCCTCATCATCTTCCTCCTCATCGTCATCCCCATCATCGTCATCCCCATCATCTTCCTCCTCATCGTCATCCTCATCATCGTCATCCCCATCATCTTCCTCCTCATCGTCATCCCCATCATCGTCATCTTCCTCATCATGGTCATCTTCCTCTTCTTCTTCTTCCTCCTCCTCCTCCATCTGCTGCTCGTCCACCTGCTGCTCGTCCACCTGCTGCTCGTCCACCTGCTGCTTCTTCTTCCTCCTCTTCACTCTCTGCGCGTCCTCCACCTCGTCAAACAACTTCGCCAACTCGGAGTCCTTATTTTTAACCTTCTTTTTCGGGGTCAAGAATTTATACAAATTTCCATACACCCCACTATTCAGCCGGTTGAGCAATTCCTTTTCGACATTATTTAAAATGTTGGCTGCTTTCAGAGCCTTATTCTCCCGGGTCCTATCCCTTCTTTCTGTTTTTTTTTTTAATGGGAACCAACTTTACTTGTTTTTGCAAAATTAATTTTCTACTCCGCTTTAGAATTTCCTTCATCCGTACATATCTCTTCATGCATTTTTTTATCTGCTTAATATTGTGGGTGTATTTCATTTCTTTATAAATCGCATTGAATGCTTCCTTTTTGTTTTGACTAAGCTGGAGTCTCGTCCAAAGGGAGCTCGGAAGGTGGGCCCTCTCCGGGTACTTCAAATATAAATAAATTTCTCCCTTATCTAGAATGACTGTTCCGTAGACACTGTTACTTAGAGGACAGTTCACCTTGGTGCATAGGCCCGTGACGTTATATTCATTCATGCAGAACATCTGTGTCTGCGTCTTTTTCTTAAATGAGCATTTTCCCTTGCCCAGGATTTCCCACGTGATGGTGTCGTTATTCATTTTGGCTTCTCTTCCTTAAGCGTGTGACGTGGCAATAATTGCAAAGCAGTTTCTTCTTCTTCGCCCCTGCTTTCAACGCTCCCAGGGGTGGTGAATAGACGAGCGCACGCAAACTGTAGATTCGTCCTACCCTCTTTCTTTTTGCAGCGTGTGATTATTGCTCAATCTATTTATATGTACAGATTAGCTGTCGAGAAATTATTTCCATCTCATATGCATATTATCCTTGGGATCCAAACGAAGGATTCGTTTTTTTCTTTCTTGATCATTCCCTTATAAATAGCTATATTTACCCCCTGAAACAGTGCGCTCTGAATAGAACACTGCTTCGGCTCGACTGTTCCCTACCAACTGTGGGGGATGTCATCCCAAAGGAATTAAAATATGTTCTATGTATGTACCTTTCTATGAGCGCCTCTACAGTAGTAACGCTGCATCTGTATATATAACCCTTTCCCTTTTATTTTTTATTTTTTATTTTTTCTTTCTTTATTTTTTTTTCCTCTTTGAAATAATGCTCATCCTTTCCCAAGGCGCATTTATTTCTTTATCTTTTCCCAAAAAAAAAAACTCGCGAGCTTGGAATTACTCATTCACAGTGCAATGTTACAATATAATAGTGCGCGTTTTTTATTTACATAATATGCACCGCGGAATTTTCTGTTGCTTCTTTCTCTCCCCGGGGGGAGAACAAAAATAGCCCAGTGGTTTCAAACATGAACAAATAAAAATAATCTACCTAGGAAATTATGTACCACTGCGAAAAGGGTGCCTATTTTTTTTACCTGGCCAGTTGGGAATACATTTTGAATTCTCCGTTGGGGGTCGAAGCGATGCCACTTCAGCTTAACCACCAACTGAGGAAAGGAAATTTTGGTGCCACCCTTGACGGTTGAGTCGGAAATTTTTTCCGCGTTACAAAATGGTGTTTTTTTTTTCATGTGGGCGCGGAGGAAACAGAAAGGGTCTGTCTGGCGCAGAGACTAAAGGATGCGTAAAAATTAAAGGCGTATTATACCATTGGCACATTTCCAAATGCCCTGCATGAACAGGGGCGTACTGAGATACCTGTACGAGGTGTCCCCCTTGACTGACCGCTCACATGTAATGTCGCTTGACATAGTCTCGAAAAGATGTCATCGAAAAATCTTCACAGGGTTGCCATCGACAACTGCATTCGCCTAGACGGGTTGAAAAATCTTAATCATGTAAAAAAAAAAAAAATACACCACAGAGAAGAACATATGCAACGTGCCCCCCCTGCGCTGTAAGCTTGTAAATATGAACCAACACCGCGGCACCACCAGGAAGTCGTGACTTGGGAAGC